TCTGTAAGTATGGTCATGTGGTCTCGCAGACCTTTATATAAAATATTGTGAATTTTGAAATCAGTGAAATTTTCGTGTAGTTCATACTATTGCTTTGTAGAGATATTTGAATACGTAAAAACAAATAAATACAATACATTTTTTTATCAGTTGTTACAAACGAATATTCAATGTTAATTGGTAATTTTTAGACTTTCATACCTAAAGGTTAAGTTCATGTTCATATTTAAAGGTTAACTCTTTTGAGACTCATCTTGCATGGTAATTTTGCTATATCTATACATAATAACTTTAGTATATTGAGCTATGTATAGAAGCACATTAAGTTTCCCCGAGATGGTTGTTCCTCTGGGAAGCCTGCAATTTGCATAGAGGAGATCGATGAATTGTTTCTATTGCGTCTGACAATTGCCACGAATGATCAGTAATCGAAATTAATCTTTATAATACTATATCTTGACATTAGTGACTGAAAATAGTTATGATCTCAGTTTCGATGACTACGGCAGGCACATACGGGAAGTGACAAAAATATCCACAACCGTTATGAAGGCTATCGTTCTAATTTAAATTGGTTTTGGTTTTGACTTTTTAAAACCAATATTGTATTGGGTCCATAACGGGTGTTTTCGGGTCTATATTGGTTATTAGATACAATAGTTACGGAATACAATAGAAACGGAACCACAATCTATACACAACCGAAAATGGCAGTTACAGAATATATAATCGATACAGAATCGTAGAATAACACTTACACTTTGTTGATTCTCATAACTGTTTCGATCAGAATCGATATACGAGCTATTCATTCGCCCAAATGAATAATACCACAAACTATTTATGTTTGTTAAATTATGTTTAAAATCTTCACCATGAGCCTGACACGGTATTGTAAGGCAAGGAGTTAATAAACACTATTCCTGTTCCTATTACTTTAATTTCCTCGCCTCGTTACCCAAACATTCATTGATTAGGTGTTGATTTGGAAATGGAACAACATTTCTTTTTTATTTTCACATATTATTCAATAGTATTTTTGAGTGAAACATTCTTTCCAATGTTCTTGTCGGGTAGTTGTGTGTCTGTCTCGGAATCCGTGGTTCCTGGTCCATAATCCTTGGGGTCTTAAACCAAATCCTGGGGTTGTCGAAAAGGAAGAGAAAACGGCTGACAATCTGAAGGTGTCTCCATCGGCAACTGGCCAATATGCAAATCCCTAGGGTTGTGCTACCAGAGTTTATCCATATTAATGCTTTCTAATTAAACTGTAGATTGGTTGGTTCATATTTTCCGTGCTCTTGTTTCTCACGGATTTGATAAACTGGTCAAAATATGCATTCGCAAGTTTCGAAGATTAACAACCGGATAACTTTTATTGAAATTGGAGAATGGAGAATGCAAACAACTCTCTTCGATATTAAAAAACTTAAGGGGCGGCACTTTTGATAGTGGTTCAGCCACTCTGACCTACTCCCGCGCATCTTCGGCATCATTATTTTCTGCTGATTTCGCAGTAACGATGGAAATCCTTCCAATAAAATGTCGATTCGTACTCAATAAATATTATAGTACCCTTTCGAGATTGGATTTACAGCGTACATGACGCACTGCTGATTTATGACGAGATGTGGGGCAAAAACTCATTTACTTTCTTACGTGACTCATAGAAATGTTGATGCCCGCTTGTTTTTTTACTGGATGGTTCTTAAAATTTAGAAATTTAAAAAAGGAGCAATAATAATCTTTGATCGAGACTGTATCAAGCTCTTAGCGTTTTTTAAATAATTTAAGGCTTGTTTAAAATTTTGTTACGAAATTATGTAATGGTTGATGGAATAATAAATTCTGTAAATAAGAGAAAGAATATTGGACATGTTATTGCAAAGTCAAATAATGAGAAAGTAAAACTTCAGAGGTACATATACATACTTAATCACATTTTTATTTTACTTTTATTTTAATCAAAATTTTATTGAGAAAAACACGCAAATATTTGTTTGGTGTTTAAATTGGTCTGTATTAGGGGAGTTTTATACATTTTATTCGTCTCTAATTAACCCTATATTTATTGTTAAATACATTATCCTTATTAACACCAGACGATATCGACCTAATTTATATATATAATGTACAATATATATCAAATAAACGATATACATTACGTTTTAAAAGTTTAGACGCCTTAATAAAAATTTATTAATTTTACAAAACGGAGAAAAAATATATAATTAATATTTTGTATAGCCACTGGAACCCTGCACGGTTAAAAAAATTTGATTTGACATACACGAAATTAAATTTTTTATTGTTTCAAGCTAGATTCTCGCCCATGCTGCCAAAAGCGATTTTTAAGCTCATCAACAGAATTGTATTGACGACAATCTGAAGAAATATCTCGAACGAGAATTTCCCAAAAATATTTTTATTGGATTTAAATCCGGTGAACGAGACGGCCAATTCATAATATTCAAACTTTGCTCTTGAAGCCACTTCTTTATGCTTCTACTCGTGTGTATAGAAGCATATCTTGCTGAAATGTGAATTTAATGCTTGGAAAACGGCAAATATAAGGCAGGAAATTGTCCTTAAGAACAGTCTGGTATCCAATGATGTTCATTTTTAATGGGACGAACGCGATTGTGGTACCGAACGTACTAAAGCCAGTTCAAATCATACAAGAAAGTCTTCCAAAATTTCGTTTCGGAAAATAGTTCGGGTCCTTTCTCAAATTCTGTCAGTATGAACTGAATCCATCTGGTCTGTCGAGATTAAATTTTTTTTTGTCACTCCAAATTACCTAAAACGTACGTACGTCTATACACTTTTTACTCAAATGGAAAGTGTATCTTGTAATATTACATTGTCCCATTCGGAAGTCCACGTTATATGATTCTTCGCGAAAACAAGGGGACAATTCTTATGATCCTGCTTCAAATTTGAACAATTCACCACTACTGTAAGGACAATATTGGACTTCTGGTTGAGAACTTTCGAAATTGTTATTTTTAATGCATTTAACCCTAAAGAGGGAGAATGAAGTTGAACAAAACTTTTAACGACTACGAAATGCCCGTAAAAATTGAGCTGTAAAGGGACAAAATGATTCAGAATGCGTATCAAAACTTAAGATGTTCTTGCCCAAAGTATCATTAATTTTATTTATACTTGCCGTAGAGTTTGAAGACTCTTTAATAATCAATCGCTTTTAGCGTCTTGCCATACGTTTCTGGATTCGACAAAACATTTTGAATAACGTGATCCGATCGCTTTGAAGTCCCTTTCCCTTTTACATTTTCTTACTGAGAAAAGTGTCATTATTTGGCTTTTCTAAAAGTCAGTCAATTTATTTGAGTTTCTCGTCATCGCGATAGCAACCAATATGCACAGTAACAATAATAACAGTCGTAGATAACAGTAATAACAATAGCAGTACTAATAGATCTAACAATACACTAACAATAACAGTAAATAATAAGGAACAAATAATTACACACGTCAATCTCTAAGTTTTTGTTAGTTAATCGTATTTTATTTACTTCTCTTCCGTTTTCGTTTCCTAGGAAGCAATTTTATGGTTATCTTCATGCTGACTCTTTTATTACTTTACGAAATTTATTCCTATAATAAATATAACCATTAGTTTATAATATGAAGTTGTAAACAACAGAAAAAGCAAGTGCGTCTAAATTTTTAATATGGTCCTTTTTCATATTTTGGCTAAAAATTCTTCCCCGTAGTTGTACATATGAATGGTTTTAGTGCTAATCGTAATTTTTTAAGGTATTTTAAAGGTATTCTATTAGGCGCGTCTAAACTTTTAGTACGTAGTGTATATCTATTACGTATAAATAAATGTACCAAAGACTAGAGAAATCTGTTACCAGAAGCATCATCCGTATTACTATCAGAATCGTGAGACTCCAATTGGACATCCGTCGCGTATACGAATTTGTTCGCGTGGCATCATTACGCGTTATAATTGCTACACTAATTAATTACAGCAAGTTCGAGCCACGATGTCTCATGTGCCGAATACATTGCAATGATGTCAATATGTATATAACACGGCTGTTTACATACCTGCTCGGTGACATCAGCGGGACGCACAAAGAAATGAATGTCGTTTAGCTTAATTAGTTTTCCGCAATTCTGAAGATGTAATTAACGTCAGGTGCCAATTTGTTGCATGGTATAATTGACAAATCACAAAAAAGCGATGTAAATGCTATAATCAACTTTATGTATATGAGACAATTAGTATCAACATTACATATTCGGAATTTAAATTTATAAATGAGTAATTTAATTATGTAAATAAAGGATTAAATAATTATACACCTTTCTTTTTTTATAGTATTTAAATAGTGGGTGCAAAATTTACCTCTATAGGGCTAATAATAAATAATTCCACTGGGAAACATTTCTGCACTAAAAGTTAAGAAGTGCAATTAAACTTTAAAAGTACTTACCTAATGAATATCGAGAAGAAAATTAGAGCCAAAAATTTCATGTAAGTCAGAATTTAATCGATTCAGATTTAACGGATACCTAAACTGTATTAAAATATTAATTAAAGACAATTTATTTGAATTACAAACATAAATATATCATTATTTCATTTTTTTAGCAAAATAATAAAATATTTTGACAAAAGCGTAACTCTGCGTACGGTTTTTCAACTATTACGTGAACCTACTTGTTGAATAAACCATTTATTGTTTCCTAAAAAAATATTCGAATTTGTTAAAAATCGCTCTAACAACGAAACACTGGTTTATTCGGTTGATAATGAAAAATTCAATTGTTATCTGAAACTATTTTATTCGTTTCTTCTGGAAAATATTGTACCATATTTTAAACTAGCGCTCCAATTTTTATTTGCTCATAAATACTTCGAGATTCAGCGCCGCATGACACCGACGTAACGATCGCGCAAAACGCATTTCGAAACGAATGAATCTTTACTGACCATTTTTTTTCTCTGTTCCCTGCTTCAGCTTCACCTTTCCGAACTCTCGGCGAAAGAGCAACGGGAAACGAATTGGTTGCGTCCGATAATTCACCGGTAAGTTCCGATCTATTTTTCTTCTCCCTTCGTGAGTGACAATTTTGCGAGGAAAATATTAGATTGCTGCATAAGTTCTATCCGCCACTCGTTCGTATAAACAATCCGACCCTTTTTTCGCTTCTAGAAATCTTTAACGTTAGAACAATCGAACATTTAAAATGATTACCTATTTGCGTCATACGGAAAAGTGAAAAATTGGTCCTTATTATCAAAAATGTTTTTTATTGCATAAAAATAAAAATGGTTCAAAACGTATAGAAAATTAAAAACAGAGTGGCATAAAGAAAGAATTCATAATTTTATTTAGCGCAATGAAGTTAATGCACACATAAATATACTTTCTTTGATGAAGTTGTTTCAATTAATATTGGAAAATGTTGACCAGTAAATCTTTATGGTAATGATAAACATAGTGTAACTGTTCGTGTTTTTGTTCATATGCGCTCTAGTTATAATGCGCCAAAAGGTAGCGCACCTATATGTGCTCCGGTGATACAGTCCAGGAAAAATCAAATAAGTTAATATGTAATTCTTATAAAAATTGTAACAATAGATTTCTCATCGGTCTTTCGATATACTGATTATAGTATTGCAGTAAATCTATTTATTTTTCAAATTATTTAGATTATTTAACGCTTTTAAAATATAAATAATTGAGAAATAAGAAAAGTGAAGCCTTGAAATATAATATGCAGGGTCACTGTTGTTGAATAAGAATGCTTAATAACGTAAGTGAAGTGATAATAGTGTAATGCAAAGATTGCGATGTGAAATAATTAATAACTGTTTCTACTTATCTTTGCTACAAGAATAAGTGTTACTTGAAACGTTGAAGAATATCTCAAGCAAAGGTGGGAAACTGTCAATACACGGCTTTAAATAACCGAAAACATGAAATATTTTGAAAAATCGAATTTGCAGGCGATACATTAAAACGGACAGAACTTACGCAGAAGTCTAATAAAAAGGCGTCACTTTCGAATCCTCGCCGCTCGTTAATTGAGAATATTTGATGCGGTCCACAGGGATCGTATATTTTGCTGTTTACTCGTCAATAATGAGGATCGTGATCCCGTAACCCTGTATTGCGTTCGCGAGATTAAAGCGGCGTGTTCACTTCGTTACAACAGATCGTTTTTGGGAAACGCATTCGAATTCAGCCGCGGTCCTTTTCATTCGCTTCGATGGTACTCCGCGAGCTCATTCGGGGAGCAATGGCGATAACATGTTTAAATTATACGCGGAAGAATAATAGGGCGCGCCGAGAATTGCCTGAAAACAACAGAGGGAATGATGAAATGTTTTATGATTATACGGGGACGGACAGAAGAAACGCAATGTTTACAACGTCCGTTTTAAGCGATATTGCATTTC